TCCTCTAATATTATATCACATAAATACTTAAAAAATAGTTGGGGAACATAAACACACTCTTTTAGAAAAGGATACAAAATAAAAAGCATGCTATATGTTGCCAGCAACCAAAGTTAAGTCCTATTCGAGCGTTCGCACGTCACGCTGAAAACCTGGGTTCGATTCCCCAGATGGATACAATGTGAGAAGCCAATTTCTGGTGTCCCCCGCCTTGATATTGTTTGAATATTGCAAAAGCGGCGTCAAAACCAACTCCCTCACACACACACTCAAAACCAATCATTGTCATTATGCGGCTGACAGTTTTTCTACAAAAATGAACGCGTTTAGCTCCGACCTTTGAAAACTTAAAACCATTTTCAAGAGACGATAGATGGATATTATTCAAAGATAATTGCAGTTGCCATTCAATAGTATGCATGTTTTTAAAACAAAAAGAAATATTAAAATAATCCACAAAAGAAGGTCCATCAATTGATTCATTCAAATCTTCCATGAAGTTTAAATCTTAATGCTAAACAATGTGATGGACAGGATACTGCCCTGTTGGACACCCTGATCCTGATTATAATCATCAAACAAGGTCGAACTCATACGAACTTAAAATTGACTGTCTGAAAAAAACGGATATGTTTAATTATTTTTGTTACACGATCTATATATGGGGCATGCCGTGGATAAGGCCACGTATTCCCCGTCGCAGTTAGCATACTTAATTTAATTGGTGCCCTCAGAGATGCCATATTCTAACGGCAGAACTTCGTCCCATGTCCAAACCTTTGACATCTAAAGCATCAGAGTGGATTTGGTACATATACCCGCACTCAGATATTGAAGTATTCAGCATTTATATGATTCGGAACAGCAGAAAAGTGCAAACGTAAAAAGATACGTCTTTCATTCAGTAATAGTCCCATTCATTTTAGTTTTGGTTTCTCTCTTTACAGTGGTTACACCTTGTGTTTTCAGATCACCTGCAATTTCCTCACTCATGCCGGGAAGACATGTCTCTGCAGGACTTCAGTGTCTTCTGTACTGAGACAAGAACCTGAGTATTCACAGACTCTTCAAACTCAACAGATCTGACAGATTGTTACCTCTGTGCATGTTCCACTTACAGTGAACTACTTTGGAGGCGAGCAGCATTCTTTACCGTTACCAGCAATTCTTTATTCTTTTTTGAGTTAGGATGAATTCACTGAACTGTATCAAATAAAAAACAGCTTTCTAGAATACGCATGTTTGATTTCAACAATAAGGGCGTATGCCCACACCAAACCTTTTGAAAAACAAGTAGAGTTGCCCTTTATTCCCCAAAGGTTAGAAATACTATATAACGAACATAAAGGATGTAAAATACTTTGTTCAAATTTAGTGAGTAATATGATAATAAATAAGATATAACCATCATCATTATGTACTTTAAGCGATGTTGAAGTTGAATTTATTATCCATCTGTTATTTGACTGTACACTTGTAAACTGTTGTGGCACAGCTTGATGAAATGGATAGAAAAACGTATTGACATAAAATTGGAAATAAATAAGCAAAAAGTCATATTTGGATTAACTTAAAACGAAATGACGTGCTAAACGTCATTTTCATTCTAACTAAATTAAACATCTACAAAAGCAAACGTACGAATCGCTTACCGAATTTGAATGGTCTCAAGACAATGTTTCAATTTCAACAATTGGATTGACCATCCCATTTAGTTTATGACCTTCTGGTCCTCATGTCACAATCTGTTTACATAGGTAATATTGATCCAATATCCAATGTTTACACACTAATAATATGTACGTAACGTAATTAAATTGTCCATAAAAAAATTGTCAAGGCTATTCCTGGTACCAGTGCCCTCAACCATCTCGTCCCCCACCGGCACCGGCGCACAACCGTACGACTAGCAATAGGGTGTTGGGGACGCATTCTCTCCCGTGTCCATACGGGGCATTTAACAAGAAGTGACCCACCACGATGGCGTGTGACATTTTTCACTATTTCGACGCCCTTGGAAATAGAAATTAATTACTACGGGTTACCATCAGCAGATATGTAGATAACTATAAACCATGGCCAAAAATTACCATTTTGTGGTACTGCTTCTTCAGACAAAGAAACAGAGTTTACTTGTCAACGTTTGTAATTATTTGATGAACCAGATTGATTTTGTTAAGAAATGGTGTATTTTATATGCCTTTGTATACCTGTTCCCACCCGTTAACCAGAGTCAAATGGGACGATGTCACAGAAGAAGCGAACCTGCAACAAAATACTCCAGATATAAGGACATGAATAACTATGACAACCTCATGTAAAAGAACAAGTGACACCCTTCTTAAGAAATACAGCATCCGGGGTCTCCATGTGTCACCAGACTGGCCCATGTACCACCTCATTGTTTTGGAATTCAAGTTGTCCATGGATTGACCAGCCGATCGATAGAATCTGGCCAATTCTACCACCCGTTTAGGTAAGGGTTGAAGTAGATTATTGGGTAAAACGGTAGGAATATATCCATATCAAAATAAGAGAGGTATATTTCATTTTTGTATATCCATATTTTTTCAAATTTCTGGCATTTAAAATAGAATTGTCATTTGATAACAATACTTCGTTTATATGTACAACATGCTGCTGGTTGCATGTTATCCCACTCGTCTAGGTGTCTGTGTCCAAATTACGCTGACACTCACGATATAGTGAGATAAACAAGATACTGTGCAAAGCTGAAACTCAACAGTTTAGACTAACAAGCTTTGCGCTCAGACCACTGAAAAGGTCTATATATGAGTGTTTGTACATACAGGTACGATGTATTTATAGCAATGAATCAAATGTTGGTCAAGATATGTTTGAGCCAAGATATGTTCGATCACATGACCGTTCTGTAAATATACGGGTGAGCGACCGGGGAACATTTTCATATGGAGACTTATTGAAGTTATGGGACGGATAGTCCGTCAAACGTTATCAGTGCGGGAAGATTATAAGCCAATAGTTTATCTATTTCTGGTTTATTGCTTTTTCCTAACAAACATAACAGTTTATGTACAATTGAAGGTCGAAACAAGAACATTTGAAAATGTTATTATGTTCAGCATGATACTAGAGCGTACATTTTGACTTCAGGCGAGCCTGTGCCTATTTGTGCAAAGACATGTTGGGCAAGGCGAGTCGAGTTACTTCCCTTTATCTTGTGGTCCCACTCTGTTGCCGGAGTCAGCCTAATATATACTTGTGAATTAAGGCTAGACAGTGAAGTTCTAAATTAAAGACGAAGATCATATTTCTGAATTGATTTAATACTTACTAAGTTATAACTCGCACGAGAAAACAAATTCATGAATGTGACATGATTTACTTACTACTTTTACTTTTTTATTCAAATTGTGCGAGTGGTGGATGCTTTCGCGTACACCTGATGTCATCACTGATTTTGAGTGATCCATTCATTTCATTTTCACCACTATTTTGACTTTTGGAAACTGTTTCGGCTGATGGGAGCAAGAGTTGCGTCTCAGGCGCCACAATTAGATGTGCAGAGCCAGAAACCTTTGAATGGGGGTTCGAGTTCCGACTATGTTTCCAGGTTTGTCAGCACCATACTCGTGGGTTTCACCGAAGTGGTAAACGTCTGAGACCTGCATCACTTAGGGCTTTCCTCCCACATTAAGATGACACGCCGTGATATAACTGGAATACTGTCAAAAGCGGCGTTAACCCCAACTCAATCACTCAATCGCTCTTTGATAAAATACACGATAATGATATTGATTACTATGTCATTGTGCTATTTGATAAATAAGCTTAAAAAATATAATATAACGGACCCAACCTTAATTTGAACGCAAATACTATAAATTTGAATATTTCAGGAATAGCTAAAGAAAAGTACCAGTTTACCACATCCCAAATGTTCCTAAAAGTTTAACGAATTAAATAGTCATCACTTTATGAGTTCTGCTTCCGAAATTAATCGTGGCGGAAGGAGACCGATTACGTTTGCGTATGGCTTGCCTAAGTCCGTTTGAGCTGGGATAAATAACTTGTCCTTATTGAACAAGCCTTCAGAAGCCGGGGGATACATACCTCACTCCCATTCTTCATGGTACAGTCTGTGGAGATTATTTATTTGTTTCAGCATTGAAGGTATTTCATTTATTTACAACACAACTCCTCCCATGTGTGTACCAAGCTACGGTGACCTCTTCTGGGTGCTTGATAACCCACGTTTCACCCAAATGAAACTGACAGGCCATGATATAACTGTAATACTGTTGAAAGCTTCGTTTAAACAAACTAACTCGCAATGAAACTGCGACCATTGTATGGATACAATGTGAGACTGACATTCTTTCCAACATCTCTACTAAAACTGGTTATCACAACTTCCCTACATTTCCCATCCCTGAATCAGACTTGTGGGTTCGAATCCCGATTCACCCTGATTATGTTTCTAGGTTTGTCAGGACCATATCCGTGTTCGTGGGTTTCACCGAAGTGGAAAACGTCCGAGACCTGCATCACTTCGGGCTTTCCTCCCATATTGAGCTGACACGCCGTGATGTAACGGGAATACTGTTAAAAGCGGCGTTAAACCCAACTCACTCACTCTTTAACTGCTATCATATAATTAATACCATCTGAGGGTGCCCATGAACAAAATGCCTTATGTGGAAAGGGTGGGTACCGGTACATAACACGTGTCACCAAGACATGACTGAGAGGATTGTTGCCATCAACAGCTGATTCGTTTAGTAAACGATTATAACTGGTCTCCGTATTTCAGCCGGACCACTGCTGACATTGGCGTAAAACAACATTCAATCACTTCATAATTAATACAGCTAACCTCTAAACCCTTGAATGAAGAAATACCAAGTATTGTAAACTTTACCATTTCATCGACTGCGGTTTAAAATAAGTCATATGACCACAACGTAAACTTGCCACTCAATCGCGACTCAATCGCTCACTGAATGTGCGTACCGAAAACTCAAAGTCCGCTGACCTAGAAGCAGAGTACACACCAGCTGCAGGCGATCTTACACAACACCCAGACACCACAGCAGGTAAAATCTTACTTTCTAGTGTTCGATATGCTAAATAATGTTCACTAACCTTTTGTCTAAACGTTGAACGCACCTCTCCTTTCATCCGTGACCACAGGGAAATTTAAATTGTCTGACTAGATGTATGTGATATGTTATCATGAATTGTTATTGTCATTGTAATGTGCTCACATACAAAAGTCAGTTTCGGAGGTGTATGTACACACATCTGCAAACTGGACAAGAACCGGCGTATACATGTCGATCGCAGTAGGATTTTGATTACGGGACAACCTTAACACGAGTGAGTGAGTTGGGTTTTTAACGCCGCTTTTAACAGTATTCCAGTCATATCACGGCGTGTCAGTTTAATGTGGGAGGAAAGCACGAAGTGATGCAGGTCTCAGACGTTTACCACTTCGGTGAAACCCACGAGCACGGGTATGGTGCTGACAAACCTAGAAACATAATCGGGGCGAACCGGGATTCGAACCCACAATCATAGGTTTCTGGCGTGCCCAAGGGACGCAACTCTGCACGGCGAATCGCGGCGCCTTAGACGACTGGGCCACCCATGCCCCCCAACCTTAACACGAATACACAAATATTCAACAGTCCATGACTTATGGCGAGACGATTTCTGGACCCGATTTCTCGAAACAAACTTAAGTTCAAAGACTGACTTAAGTCTGAGTTTTTACTCAAATTTGAGATTTGAGTAAAAACTTAAGTTTGTTTCGAGAAATCGGGGCCTGACAGTATCGCATGGGACACACATAAAAATACATGTCTAACTTCAACTAACTTTAAAACAATTTGAAAACCTGATCGGATTTCATTGTCGTAATTAAAGACAAAACAATAAAATTCGATCAGATTTTCAATTATGAATACACATTGCCATTTTTAAAAAGTGGTCAAATTCAAATGTTAGATTTTAAATTGTTTAAATAATTCTTGACATTTCTGGACATGGGAAAACCAATTAGACATTAGAAAATTCGACAATGTCCGGACTAGTACAAGCAACACGCACGCACGCACGCACGCACGCACACACGCACGCACGTATACGCACTAGCTTTTCCAGGCAACATTCACGGTCAAAACGTTGTATTTTTAAACTAAATATTCATGTCAGTTCCAAAAATAAATCTCTGCAATTTTCAAGGAAACGCCAAAGGGGCATTATCTATTACCAACTGCTATCTGAGTGTACTTTCAACGTAAATAATTGCTAAAACCAAGAAGATATCTACCCGAGTCAACGTTAGCAGAGCGCTTATGACACGTATGACTGTGGTAATCTCTGTTGCAGGATGGGTAAATGTGGTACCGCACTGTTTGTGGTAAGCGGCGTCTTGCTGGCAGGTCTTGGTTATATGTTGTACACACCTCTACCTGATCACCTGGGCAACCAGTGGCAGCTCAAGACGATGTTTGCCAAGATAAAGCTCAGTTTCGTTGTCGTAAGTAGACCAAACCCAATACAATGTATCCAGGAACTATATCTGATTAAGAGGGTTGAACACACCTTTCAACTGATTTTGTTAATGTGACAAGGCATTTGTTTCATACTTAAAGAAAAGTCCAAAGCGATGCAAGTCTTAGATGTTTAACATCAGGGGTCGTAATCTGTGCGAATCAAGAATCGAAACCCACGATCAGCGGATCACGTTTCAGATAAGGGACATAACTCTGCGGTCAAAAGCTGAGATTATATCCCGCTAGTGACCGGGTTGTTGTTTAGCCTTGGGACCAACAATGTTTACAGGTCTTTACAAAGTGGGCGGTCAGGTAGCCTAGTGGATAAAGCGTTCACTCGTCACGCCAAAAGACCCGGATTCGATTCCCGACATGGGTACAATGTGTGAAGCCCATTTCAGGTGTCCCCCGCCGTGATATTGCTGGATATATTGCTAAAAGGCGTAAAACCATACTCACTCACTCACAAGAGTACAGTACATACACCCTGTGCACTCAAACGAACCCACTCGTGCGATGGTAAATGACCAGAAACGTACATACACTCCAAACACTAGTATCAAAACGTGTGGTGTCACTATAGGCAATTGAATGTGCCTCTGTCCACCATCAGGGAATGGGTACCCGGTATGTGACGTAGATGTAAAACACTCCAGCGCCCGTAGGCAGCTTTGGTTGTATACTTCCCAGGGAGTTGAGAATGATAACTGTTATGCAAACGGATCCACTAGTCGGAGAACAGATAGAACCGCATTTCAGCAGATACTAGTAACTGGATACCTGCGGTATATATATATATATATATATATATATATATATATATATATATATATATATATATATATATATATATTATAATAATTTAGATTAATGATGGCACACATAACACTGCTTGGCCATCAGAGCAGATAACACGCAGTCACTTCGGTCACAAGCTGAAGCATGTTTGGTACAGGATATGTTTGTTGTCACTGAGAACATGCCTAAAATGTCCAGGAATCATTTTCGTTTTTTTTGGCTAAAATAGAAAACATTTCACCCAGGAAGAATATCTGCCATGCCAAAAATCTTTCAATTAAATGGCTTCCAAAGAAAGTATATCAGTATTATTGCACACTCTGCTTTTTGTTCTGGAAGTCTGAACTGTTTTATCAACTTGGCCTGAGTGGGAAAGACAGGACCGATGTTATACGGGGCAACATTAACTACCTCATGACATCGCCGCCATCACAGGAGGAACAAGCAGCACTTGAGGTAACCGCGTCCTGTTTCCAGGACCTTCTGTTTACTTTGAAGACTACAGTTAACAACGATTTTGTAGTAAATAATACGGGGCTAAGGGGGGTCACGGTGTATTCCACCTTCGATTATCACCCACGGACCCTGATGGTTTTATGAAGCGGTCAGTATATCTCCCCATATTGTCTGTGGGTCTGATTTCTACCCCCTCCCTTGTCCTTGCAATTGGCCAGCCTCTCCGATCAAACCTTGAATTGCTTACTTGGTTTCAGATTTACGACACAGAATTGAATGGAGTCCCAGTAAGGGTCTATAAACCCAAGTCAGCCACAGGGGCACTGCCTGGATTGGTGTATTACCATGGCGGTGGCTGGGTAGTCCTGAACATTCGTAAGTATAATATTATGTCTATGTGTTGTCGCTCTGTGAAATATCTTTATGGATATAGTCATTTTGTCAGAGTGGTAATTAATCCCTGAGCTGGTTTGTTTTTATTCAGTTTCCTGCATTTGTGTGCAGTAACATCACTTTTATCCAGACCTCATTGTCCGGAGATCGGAGAATCATAAATAGCATTGATGTAGATATACGTAGAATTCCCACACATAAACGGTCTGGAAGGTCTGTTACTGGAATGTGTGTGAAGTGGATTGACGAGGGTCGGTACCATGGATTCCACTGTGTTCTTGATACACACATAAACCATGCATATGTTGTTTCCAGCTGCCTACGATGCTCCTTGCGTCCACATCGCCCGCACAGCCAACATCATCGTCATATCCGTCGAGTAAGTCGGGACCTGTGAGTGATCGAGTGAGCGAGTGGGGTTTAACGCCGCTTTTAACATTATTCCAGTTATATCAGGGCGTGTCAGCTTAATGTGGGAGGAAAGCCCGAAGTGATGCAGGTCTCAGACGTTTACCACTTCGGTGAAACCTACGAGCACGGTATGGTGCTGACAAACCTAGAAACATAATCGGGGCGAACCGGGATTCGAACCCAGGATCATAGGTTTCTGGCGTGCCCAAGGGACACAACTATGCACAGTGAATCGCGGCGCCTTAGACGACTGGGCCACCCGTGCCCCCTCGAGACCTTTAAAAAAAGAAGAAAATGACTGGCACAAACATGACATTGTTGCAAGGTGTTTTAATTTTAAAAATATTTAGGCTCACAGTTTGAAATAAAAAATATCTCGTTTTGCTAAAACATAACAGCTAATCTTGGTATAAAAAATCCCAGGAACACCAACAATGTCAAATGGTCGGTCGCTTATCTGCCACATATGTACCCCCATCCCCACCTCACCTTCGTGTTTGCGGGCGAACCCTAAGATTCTACCCGTTAACTTATATTATGATTATTGACCTTGTCAGAACTATGTCTAAATGAAAGTTAACGCAGGCGGTTTTATGTGAACCGGCGCACTGTTCAGAGTTGTGTCCCTTGGCTATTAAGATGTCATTCTCCGAAAAAGAGAGATCTACACGTGTTTCTAAGGCTCTGTAAAAATACACGAATCTCCCAATAACATTATAGCAATAACTTCATTTCGCCAGGTACCGCTTGGCCCCAGAACATCCATTTCCTGCTGGTTTTGATGACTGTCTCCAGGTGGCGCTGTATGCGTTGAAACAAGGTCGTGACCTCGGTCTTGACCCGACCAGGGTCGCAATAGGAGGTAAATGTCATGGTCACCGATTGTTTGCAGGGGACTCGGGGACACATGGCGGTGCAGTGACGTAAACCGATACTAATACAGTAAACTACGGTTATAACGAACACAAAGGGACCACTAATTTTAGTTCGTTATAACTGAAGTTCGTTATAAGCATATATACAGCATAACTACAGCAAATGTTGGACAAAAAAGTAAGTTCGTTATATCCGTCAGTTCGTTATTAGCGTGTTCGTTATAACCGTACTTTACTGTATAGCTTCTTGAGCTCTGAGCAGCATGCCTGCAAGTGTCTGGAATAAGATGGTTTCTATTTCTGTAGGTTTAGTATTCCTGGACCACAAGCCATGTAGGTCCCCAGTTATCTTGATTGCTGTTAAGAGGCAACTAAATAAAGCCAGTGTTCGGGCTGTTGTTGATTTCAATCACTGGTTTGTAAGGCCGCCATCCCAGAGTTGAAATTTTGCTTAATGCGGTGCAAGGGGGTTAACTGATTTTAAAATCCAGTTTCCACCCTTGCCGACCTAGGCTGGAATTCCGGGGTTACATTTTGGCTGGACAAATGCATAATCCAATCAAAATCGCGTAACGAAATCAACATCTAGTTCGTAACTGCCGTGCAGATTTCGGTCGATTGCAGGACTTGCAAAGCATGTGTACCGTCAACTTAGCGTCAATAGATATTTTCCAATTATTTTCACGTTTTTAATCAAGGTGCTCACGTGATTTGATGCACTTCGCGAAGTAAGACTCGTTTTATTACAGTATAGATCTTGATTAGCCATCAGATCGACTTCCCTCGGCGTCACCCTTTGCAAATGCATCTAATTGGTCAATAGGAGGGACATGGAAGGGACATAACTCGTATTAGCCACTAGTGCCGCTACAATCGAACACAGAAATTCCGGTCGAGTTCGGCAAGGGTGGAAACTAAAATTTTACTGTCGGTTAATTCCCTTGCCTTGGGAAGATGAATGCGGGGATAAACAACAGACAAATCAGTTAACTTTCATGGCGATTAGTTCAGGCAAGAAGCAACTCTAACGTTAAAAATCGCCCAATCTTTGGAAATAAAGGAACATTTTTCACGGAAAAAAACAAAAGCTTGATTTTCAACTTTTTCAAGTCTCACATTGATTAATCACAAAATTGGAACATGTGACGATTTCATTGTCCGTTTCTCCACATATTGTTTTGAATCAAAGATTCCAATTTCTCCTAGGTGACAGTGCCGGTGGCAATCTGGCTGCAGCAGTTTCCTTGAAGCTGAGAGACCAGATGATAAAACCAGCTCCAAAGTCACAGCTCCTAATCTACGGAGTATTCCAAATGTGTGACAAATCTCTGCCATGCATGAAACTGCGTGAGAAATATGAGAACACCGCGGCGATGTCTGTCTTCTTCCATAGTGCCTATTTCAATTTAACAAAGACCCAAAGTGAGCTCTTAATGGCCAGGAAGTACTCGACACCGGAATTGGTGCAGAGATGTACTAAACTCGTCGATTACAAACTACTCCCGAAAGAGTTAATTCCAGATGGCTACGAACCGGAAGTTACTCTGGCAAGCTCTGTAACCGATGATGTCAAGTATATCAGCAGACTTATGAGTGATACCAGGGTGGCACCGCTGATGGAGGAGGATCTGAAGAATCTGCCAACTTCTCTGGTTGTGGCTGCGGAATGGGACCAACTACGTGACGAGAGCTTCATCTTTGCTGAGAGACTGAAGCATGCTGGGAACAAAGTCCAGCTTCTGTACCTGTCGGACTCGTTTCATGGAATCTTGAATGCATTTGATTTTGAGAAGTTTGGGTTCGATGCCGGTCCAAAAATCATGAGCAGTATTGTAGATTTTATCAACAAAGAACTGAAATGATAGCACATTGTAATCACTCATAAATATTTTCATAAGTACACAGTGATTTTCTATATGTTTTTTTTGTAATTTTATACAGAAGGAATAAAATCCATAAGGCTTGAAATCAAAGCTTCAACAAATCGATCACTTGTTTTCTATTTGCTATAGCGCTACAAATGACTATGATGGAAATAGTGAGTGAGTGAGTTGGGTTTAACGCCGATTTTAACAGTGTTCCAGTTATATCGCGGCGTGTCAGCTTAATGTGGGAGGAAAGCCCGAAGTGATGCAGGTCTCAGATGCTTACCACTTCGGTGAAACCCACGAGCACGGGTATGTTGCTGTCAAACCTTGAAACATAATCGGGGCGAAACGGGATTCGAACCCACAATCATAGTTTTCTGGAGTGCCCAAGGGACGCAACTCTGCACAGCGAATCGCGGCGCCTTAGACGACTGGGCCACACGTGCACCCCTGATGGAAATAGACGTAATTGCAAACAGACAGGCAGACAGACGTTATTGTAGCAGAGAACCCGTAGTACACACAGAATACTTGTCAAAATTTCTTGGACATAATTGGTCCCTTTTGTCATTATACCAAACAATAATACAGAATATGATATTCATCTTCGGACACCATACATCTTTTACATAAAACTTCATCAATGCTCTGATTAATAACCCAACTCACTTACTGGAAACCTAAATTATTCCATCCACTTAAATTGAGTGATAATTCTTCTGTAAGCATGTGATTCTACCTGTAGTAAATACTATTCACAATCCAACAGTGACTTGAAGGTTCTATACATGGGTCATGAAGTATACCCTGCCAGTCCTGGGTTGCACAATCATTAATACTTTGTTGAAAGGCCAATGTAAAGAAAGCATTGTCGCCGATTGTTCGTGCGATATTGTGTGGTCAGTGAATATAGCATTACAACTCAGTATTGAACAGTATTTCATTAGGCGTAAATAGGTGAGGTGAGGTGAAATGGGGTTTAACGTCGCGTCCAAGATTATTGCACTTATATAGCTACGTGCATGTACGTGTGTGTGTTTGTGTGGCTTGCTTGTACTAGTCCGGACTGATGCCGATTTATAGTGCTAGCTCACTGAAATACCATGCCGCAGTTTAACATGAATACCCCACTCAGACACAGTATACTGACTCCGATCCGACCAGTCCTTGTTTTAGCCGCTTAATGCCGGGCGCCAGACAGGGTAACAACAAGTACAATCTTTTAACGTCTTTTGGGATGACGCGGCGGGGGATCGAACCCCTGACCTTCCGCTAAACCACGAAGTCTTAATGTCCACGTGGGAACCATCTACTGATTACATCAACGATACCAGGTCACAACAGCATGGCTTCTCTGATTCTTAAAGAATGTAACAGGTGACAGGTATACCAGATGGAAGATGCGAAAGAGGTTGTGCCTCATCTTAGAAGGCTAACTTTTAAAGAATATATGAATAAAATTACCGAAAGAAATGACACAGCAGAAATTCTTGAAAAAGATTTCTTTATTGTTCCAAAACATAGATTTTTAAAACAACAACAATCACCAATGAAGAATTGAACTTGTTATCCCATGTTCTGTCGTCATTAATATTAATATTTGCTTGACTCAGCAAAAGTAAGAACTGTCCACCCTTCACAACTTTGGTCAGGCTCGCTGACTTTGTTGATACATGACATCAATCCCAATTGCGTGGATCGATGCTCATGATATGAATAACTGGATTGTCTTGTCCAGACTCGATTATTTACAGACCGCCGTCATATAGCTGGAATATCAAGACGATCTGATCGATAATCAAGATCTATATTCAATTTGTAATAAAACGGGTCTTACCACGCGAAGTGCATCAGATCGCTTGATCACCTTGATTAAAATCATGAAAAGGTTTTCAAAATATCTGTCGACTCCCATTGTACGGTACACATGCTTTGCAAATTCTGCAGTCGACCGAAATCTGCGCGGTGAAATCCATGTTGTTCACGAACCGGATGTCAAGTTTGTTACGTGATTTTGATTGGACTATTCATAGACTCGTTAGTCCAGCCACAATGTAACTCCGGAATTCCAGCCTAGTTCGGCAAGGGTGGAAACTGGATTTTCAAGCTCCTCACAGCGATAGTCCGTTCACGGAGCTCTCTATACTATCGCTGCCACCAGTCAAAACTCCCCACTGTGAATAGGTGGCCACAACAATGCTTGGAGTTGAACTCGCAACCGAATGACCGTTATGTTTACAAACAAGTGTCGACTGTCGTGACGCCGAATACACTTATCGCTGCTAAATGAATGTCTTCGTTTGTCAATTTGAATTTCTGTTTCATTAAAACTATCGTGTTATTGATATACTAAGAATGTAAGGGAGAAGTTGGTTGATTTTCCGTTAGTCTGCAATCTCGAACCAATCTGATTATCAAAACAACAAAGTAAATTCATCTGGAAAACAGAGGGGTCTACTTTCAGCGTTAATAATTGCTGAAACAACGAAGATCTCTACCGAGGCAACGTCAGCAACATTAACGATGCCAGCTTATGACAACGTATGACCGTGGTAATCTCTGTTGCAGGATGGGTAAATGTGGTACCGCACTGTTTGTGGTAAGCGGCGTCTTGCTGGCAGGTCTTGGTTACATGTTGTACACACCTCTACCTGATCACCTGGGCAACCGGTGGCAGCTCAAGACGATGACTTCCACGATAGCCCTTGCATTTATAGCTGTAAGTAAATGAAACTTCATGCAATGTATTCAGTAACCATATATCCCGATCGAGTCAGTGAATTGAGACAAGATTTCATTTATTCCGTGAGTTTTCTGTTTCATGCTAGAAGGCTGTTAGTGACGGAAGCCTTGGATGTTTAACACTGGTATGAAACCCAGTGCTCGGATGAGGGAGATGGGAGATCAGTTTGAAAGACAACGTGAAACCGCTATCTCTGTCTTTATAACCCCTGAAGATCCGGGATAGAATACAGCAACCCATGTTGCCGTGAAAGGCGACTATGCTTGTCGTAAGAGGCGACTGACGGGATCGGATGGTCAGGCTTGGACTTGGTTGATACATGTCATCGTATCCCAGTAGCGTAGACAGGCGCCTTTTAACATATGCCTTTTAACACATTGCTCCACTATCGGGCGATCAGCCAAGCCACATGGCCCAACTTTGGTGGTCGCCTCTGAAGGTTCGGATGAGTACTGGACCGCCTCTGTGGATAGAGCGTATGCCCGGAAACCAGTACGCTGTGTCTAAGAAGGGTATTCATGTCAATCTGCGGCATGGTATCTCAGTGGGCTAGTGGTCGGCTCGGAGCCAGTACGCTGCATCTGAGTGGGGTATTCATGTCCAACTGCAGCATGGTATCTCAGTGGGCTAGTGGTCGGCTCGGAGCCAGTCTGAGTAGGGTATTCATGTCCAACTGCAGCATGGTATCTCAGTGGGCTAGTGGTCGGCTCGGAGCCAGTCTGAGTAGGGTATTCATGTCCAACTGCAGCATGGTATCTCAGTGGGCTAGTGGTCGGCTCGGAGCCAGTACGCTGCATCTGAGTGGGGTATTCATGTCAAACTGCGGCATGGTATCTCAGTGGGCTAGTGGTCGGCTCGGAGCCAGTCTGAGTAGGGCATTCATGTCATACTGCGGCATGGTATCTCAGTGGGCTAGTGGTCGGCTCGGGGCCAGTACACTGTGTCTGAGTAGAGCATTCATTTCCAACTGCGACAAGGTATCTCAGTGGGCTAGTGGTCGGCTCGGAGCCAGTACGCTGTGTCTGAGTAGGGTATTCATGTCATACTGCAGCATGGTATCTCAGTGGGCTAGTGGTCGACTCGGAGCCAGTACGCTGTGTCTGAGTAGGGTATTCATGTCCAACTGCAGCATGGTATCTCAGTGGGCTAGTGGTCGGCTCGGAGCCAGTCTGAGTAGGGTATTCATGTCCAACTGCAGCATGGTATCTCAGTGGGCTCGTGGTCGGCTCGGAGCCAGTACACTGTGTCTGAGTAGGGTATTCATGTCAATCTGCGGCATGGTATCTCAGTGGGCTAGTGGTCGGCTCGGAGCCAGTACGCTGCATGTGAGTGGGGTATTCATGTCCAACTGCAGCATGGTATCTCAGTGGGCTAGTGGTCGGCTCGGAGCCAGTACGCTGCATCTGAGTAGGGTATTCATGTCCAACTGCAGCATGGTATCTCAGTGGGCTAGTGGTCGGCTCGGAGCCAGTACGCTGCATCCGAGTAGGGTATTCATGTCCAACTGCAGCATGGTATCTCAGTGGGCTAGTGGTCGGCTCGGAGCCAGTACGCTGCATCTGAGTAGGGTATTCATGTCCAACTGCAGCATGGTATCTCAGTGGGCTAGTGGTCGGCTCGGAGCCAGTACACTGCATCTGAGTAGGGTATTCATGTCCAACTGCAGCATGGTATCTCAGTGGGCTAGTGGTAGAACCGGAGCCAGTCTGAGTAGGGTATTCATGTCATACTGCAGCATGGTATCACAGTGGGCTAGTGGTCGGCTCGGAGCCGGTACGCTGTGTCTGAGTAGGGTATTCATGTCCAACTGCAGCATGGTATCTCAGTGGGCTAGTGGTCGGCTCGGAGCCAGTACACTGCATCTGAGTAGGGTATTCATGTCCAACTGCAGCATGGTATCTCAGTGGGCTAGTGGTCGGCTCGGAGCCAGTACACTGCATCTGAGTAGGGTATTCATGTCCAACTGCAGCATGGTATCTCAGTGGGCTAGTGGTAGAACCGGAGCCAGTCTGAGTAGGGCATTCATTTCCAACTGCGACAAGGTATCTCAGTGGGCTAGTGGTCGGCTCGGAGCCAGTACGCTGTGTCTGAGTAGGGTATTCATGTCATACTGCGGCATGGTATCTCAGTGGGCTAGTGGTCGGCTCGGGGCCAGTACACTGTGTCTGAGTAGGGCATTCATGTCCAACTGCGACAAGGTATCTCAGTGGGCTAGTGGTCGGCTCGGAGCCAGTACGCTGTGTCTGAGTAGGGTATTCATGTCATACTGCAGCATGGTATCTCAGTGGGCTAGTGGTCGGCTCGGAGCCAGTACGCTGTGTCTGAGTAGGGTATTCATGTCATACTGCGGCATGGTATCTCAGTGGGCTAGTG